ATTGTCTTTGAGTAGTCATATTTTCTCTTTTTTGCTGCATGTGTTTGGAATGTCCGAATCTTTGTGGCGATCTCTTCCTTCCCGAAAGCCTTCTTACTAAACACAAGTTTTCCGTCTCCATGAATGATATTGAATATTGTGTTTTCTCTTTTTCTTGTTATGTGTACCGGGGGAATGTTGCAGACAATATTTAGTGCTGCGTTCGATACTGTATGAAAAGATTTAGCAATTTTTGACAAGGGGATCCTCTGAATTGCCTTCAGTCTATCTTCTCTGTGTTATTTTTTTCCGTGCGAACATTGCCGGGTACCATATTGGAGAGCCATATACTATCATGCGTTCGATTTCCCCTAAGTAGATTTGTCGGAGGTGTTTTGGGATCATGCCCCAATTTGTTCCTGTAAATTGTGCCAGACCAGACGTAATCCTTTGGATCCTTTGCTTCACCGCTTTTAAATGTGGTATAAACAAAAGCTTGCTGTCGAATATCACCCCAAAAATTTTCGTTTGTTGGACTCTCTTAATTGAAATGCCATTAAGTTTAATGACTGGAGATCTATTTTTATACGCGGCCCCTAGGTTAATGAATTCACATTTCTCCAGGCTGAAGTTCAGCTCATTTCAGGTGCTCCATTCGTGTATGATCGCCAGTGCTTTCGCGGCCTCCGCGTCTAGTTTAGCTCTACTTTTGCCCCTAACTACTAGCGTTAAATCATCCGCGAATGCTTGTATGGTGGTAGTTTCTGGCATTTCTGCCACCAACGATTCGGAAACAATTACGTTCCATAGAAAAGGACTTAGGAGCGAGCCTTGTGGTGCTCCTTTGGTTAGATCTAGCTGTATTCTACTTTTCCCCAGTTCATAGCTGATTGACCTATCTTCTAGAATGTGAAATACCCATTATCTTAGATCCTTGGGTATTTTTTATCCCTAAATCTTTTTTTTTACTCTATCAACAATTATATTTCCGAATGCATTGGTTCTGTCTAATGAAATTACTATAATATTGTCTGTTTTCGAGGGACTGTACTATGTCCCGTTTTAGTTTATACAGTGCGGTGATGGCAGATTTGCCTTCGTAAATCCAAAGTGATTGTCAGGGAAGAGATAATTTGTTTCAAAGCAATAATATAGACGATGATATAGGAGCTTTTCGAAGATTTTCCCGAGTATAGAATTTACGGCAATGGGTCTAAATTTGTGGGCCGCCTGCGGGCTGTGTTCTCTGCTTTTGGGGATTAGAATGACTTTTGATGTTTTCCAGGCTGATGGGAAATGTCTGAGTTGGAGTGCTGCATTGAATATCTTAATAAAGAATTGCTTGTGCGCGTGGTAGAGTGTTTGTATAAATTCGGTAGTTATCTGGTCTGGTCCTGGGCTGATCTTCCTTCTAATATTATTTATAACGTGGTCGACTTCCAATTCGGTTAGTTCAATAATCTCACTTGCGTCGTCTTCTGTTTCCTTATGAATGATATCGTTTTGCATTGTTTCCGAGGTGGTAGCTTAAGTTTCGTAGAGGTTTTGCAATATGTATCGAACGGTTTCCTCTTTGGTCTTTGTTGCTTCTCCATTTTCTTTTATGAGACTCTGGAAGACTATTTCTCTTTTTATTTTATTAGCCGCTATTTTGTATGGAAGGGAGAATGCATTCTTGTCCTGCTTACTGCAATAGTCTTTCCAGGATTTATTCTTGGCGTCCTGTATTTCTTTCTGATATTGTTTGAGTCCTTCGAGGTAAAGTGATTTAAAGTGATTCTTCAGGTCCTTGGTGCATCTTTGGTATCGCCTTCGCATGGCTCGTACTCGTTTTCTCTGAATTTCCAACTCTGGCTTCCACCATGGCTTTTGTTTTTGATCTACCTCCTTCACATTCTTTGCAAACTTCATATTTAAGTCTTCTATTTTTTTGTAAAACTGGGTCACTATATTTTCTAGTTGGTTCTTGTTTTCTATTTTTCTTTGTGCCGTATCCTTGATCCATAAGTCTCGACATAGTGCATCCAATACCTTCTTTTCGCCCATTTTGGTAAGACGTTTCTCTTTTGTGCGGGTGATCTCAAAAAATTCCGCTTTGATGTACCGGCGATCACTGCCGCTTTCCTCGTCCCTCACCTCCCAAGTTCTTACTTGCCTGAGCAATAGCGTGGAACAGATGGTGAGATCTATCCAACTCCTTCCATTTTTTGTCTGAAAAGTTGGCAGTGCCTGGGGATTCTTGATCACATTGAGGACGTGGCGGTTTACAAATTATGCTTATTCTAAACCTCTCTTGTCCGTTACATCTCCTCCCCATAGTGTGTTTTTAGAATTAAAATCACCTACAAGGAGTACGTTTTCTCCTGGCTGTATTTGGCTTAGGAATTGTTCAATTTCCAGTAATAGAGATAGTGTATCTGTCTGTGGTGGGAAGTAACAGTTTATTGTTATTAAATCTACGTTGTTCCAGGTTAACTTAACAATTATAATTGTTGGTGTTATTCTCATGGGGATATATTTCGACATTTTTGTTATGTATTATTGTTGCGATTTTTAGATTTTTGCTGCCCTGTATAATTCGAGTTTTTAATGGGAAACCTATTACTTTGTTTTTTAAAAAGTATGGTTCTTGTAAAAAAAGAGGTGTCTTGTTTATGATCTAAATGAGTGATGTTAATGTTCTTTGTTGCTTGGAATGAGCGGCCTAGGTTTATTTGAAGTACGCTCAGTGATTGCGTTCCGTTCATGTTGTTTGTTTTCTCCTTTCCCCTTTTTCCCCTTTCTCTTGGATATCGGCTAATGGACCTTTCTTCTCTAGTTTGTATTTCAGTTAGGCCTTTATACCTTTATAGATAGGCTATTACTTCTCTGGTCCTTCTTGCCCGTGCCTCTTTAAACACTGGGCAGTCCAGGCTCAAGAACGAGTGGTCTCTACTCGCAAGGGGGAGTTCGCGTTCACAGGCACAGCAGTTCTTCTGTGTGTTCCCACAGTGACTGAGATGATGTGCCCCACCACAGTCAGTGCACCTTGACTGCCCCTTGCAGAACTTCTCGACGTGCCCGACTTGAGCGCAGTTTTTACAGCGTGGAATGAATGTGTTGTCAAAGAAGCGACAGCGGGTCCACTTGACGTTGAGGTATGACCGCCCCTTCAACGCTTAGCTGGCTCGCCCGGTGATGTCGAAGCACTTGGTCATTCCCCCCCCCCCTCTCCTTCCTTTCATGTCTTGGTGAGGACAAAATCATCTGGAGTGCATCGCAGGTCGTTTTGGGTTATCAAACACGCCTTGATTTCCTCGTCTGATAATTCCTCACTAATTCTGACTACTTTTATTTGTGGTAGCCGCTTTCTTCCCTGCGTCACCTCAATTGCCTTCCTCGTCGCTTCATTGCTTTCCACGTCCTTCTGGAGCGAAGCAATCGCCTCTTTTGAGGTGGACGAAATCACCACCCCACCCCGAACTGGTCGCATTTCAACATCTCTCAGTCCGAGGGAACAAGGGTCGATGTTACGTGCTATCACTTTTGATAGCTCGTCCGTTCCGTGTGTGTTCGATCTCACCACTATGGCCTCTCTTTGTTTGGGTGAGCCGATTTGCCCAATAATCTCCCCCTGGACAGAGCTGCGAACCGCCTCTGCCATACTTTTGGCGGGACCCTGGCCCCTCCCCATGGTCTCTCGGACCGCTCGCAGCTCTCCCTGAAGGCCTGAAACCTCGTGTGTGGCCTCCAAAGTTAGAGATTTCATTTTTGAGATCTTATCAATTATGTGATCCAGCTGTGCCGCTCCTATATCGTTTTCGGCCGTCTCAGCTGCAATTACTGAGACAGCCTTGAGCAGTTTCTTGTCCACTTTCATCAATTTTGCCAAGGGTGATGACTTGCCTATTCCTCCGTCTCCCGGCGTTTCAGTGTCAGATGAATTAAACGTCAGAAAACTCCCGCTCATATGACTTCTCCTTTTGCTCAGCTGAGTGGGATAGGGCGGCCGAGGCCTTTCCAGTGCTGTTTGTTGTCTTCCTCTTCACTGGAATCTTCTTTTGCCTGGGAGTCCTGCGAGGCAATGTGTTTGCCCGCTTTTCGTGCTCGGCGCTCCTGCCTCAGTGACCCTTCGTCGCAGACTGTATCCCAGGATTTGCCCGACTCGTCCTCGGACGACTCCGTTTCCGTTTGTACAGCAGGGCGCTTGGGGGGTGCCACCCGGACAAAATCCAGGAAGTCCTAAGTTTGTCCCCTGTTTCCTTGCCGCTCTTCGCCTTCGTAGTCTTTTTATCTTTTGAATTCTTCCCCATTCTGTGCTTACTCTATCTTTCCGTCGTCCGCAACTCTAGCTGCCTGTGATGACCCAGCCGAGAAAAGAAAAAAAATGGGTGAAGGTTTGGTTCTTATGGGCTCTCCTCTCCGACTGCAGGATGTTGCCGCTCCGAGCAAGGGCGAGGGAAGACGCGGGGGCGACGTTTATTTACTTTCTTCCTTTCTCATCTTCTAACCACTACCAACACCAAATTCTTTCTAACTCCTTAACTCTTAGTTGCCTAAAGCTATCGAAATAATTTTTTCCGCGAAAAGAAGCAGACTGTTGTGTTCTAAAAGTAGGTTTCAGCGGAGTATCGGTCACATTTGTGGTTATTATTTTAAAAATGTTTTATTGAAACGAGATTTTACTAATTGCTGCCCTAATTAATGTCCTAGAGAGTACAGAGTTGGGCTTCCGGTTAGCCTATGGGGTGCTGTTTAATAGTATATTAAGCGGACAAAATTTAAATATGTTTTTGAGGTTATGTTACCAAATTAATCTTTTAGTGATTATGCCTTATTTTGATCGCAGGATAGCTCCTGAACTACTATCTGTCCTGATGAAACTTGAGTAGCGACCGGGTTACATCTAGGGCTTTAGACTGTATTAGTTAGAAGTTTCCTACTGAATTATTACCAAAGTTACGAGCGATTGTAAAGAGAAAAAAGAAACACGTGGTCCAAGGCTTCGATCTGACAGGCGTACCTTTCCCCCGAGAGTTACGATGCAGGATGGGGGGAAGAATGTCGAGGAACGTGCGGACGCTACCGGTGTTTGTAAGCGAGATTTCTACAAGTTCGGCGAACACGTTCGGATGGAGGAAGATCAACGGATTGAATTCAAGGCACACAAGGACATCTCCATCGAAGAGCTGTCGGCGGCTTGCAAGGACCAGTACTCTCGCCAGACCATCTCAAGAACTATCTGTGCCTTCTTGAACACTGGGAGAGGTGGGACTATTTTTCTGGGAATCCTTGACAATGGTGATGTCAACGGTCTCCATCTCACAGAATACCAAAAGACCACTTGGCTTTGAGTCTTGAAAACTTGATGCTGCGGTACAAGCCAGCTGTCCCAAAACACATGTACGAGCTGTGTTTGGTCCAGTCATCTCTGAGGGTGTGCCATTGCCAACAAACGAAAGACGTGAGATGAACAGCAAGGAGAGGTTCAGGCCACACAAATTGCAGTGTTCGACGTCATGCTGGTGTGATGATGAAGCTACTGCTCAGCTGAGTTTTGGTGGATCGGTGATGCGGTATGTTGTGGAGATTAAGCTATCTGCATGGGACAGTTCTGACCCGAGAAACAGTGGGTTCAATAAAAGCAAGATGGGCAAACACCCCATGTTTGACAATGAAGAGGATATCTGCTTTTTGCGCCGTCAGGGCAGCAACATACGGTGCACTTTGCAAGATGTCATCCACATGACCCATCAAGAAGTTAAAAATGCGGACGACGTTGCGCTCTTCGCGAGTGGACCTACCTCCATGGTCGTCAAGTGCATGAGAGCTTCCAGACTTCCTAAATGCAGTGGATAGCCTTATAGGTGGCGTGGGCCTTCAATTCTTCGTCCACTAAAACCGAGGCCCTCCTCGCCACCTAAGCGAAGCGGGCCCGCTACAACGTCCCGAAGCTGCACCTTCGTGGACACCCACTGCCATGGCTAAAAGGCAACAATTGTACGTACCAGTCTTTGAGAGTTTATGAGGCTGGTCATGGTCGCTCGTGAATTAAGCCTCAAAATGTTGATACTCTGAGCAAACCTGATGTTCTTGCATTAAGGTCGCTTCTGTTTAAAGTGCGAGTAACACACCTTGCACGTAGTCGCCAATCAGCAGATGAGACTGACCCAGCAGAGGTCGTGGTTGGGGAGTGGGGGGTGCATTTGGTTGTGGGACAGTGTGTTGAGAATGGCACATCGACGCACAGACTACACACCGTACATGTTGAGTCTTGGGGAGGAAGTCGTCTGCCTCTTCGTCTGCTATTGGCATGTTGTTTTGCTTCTGCGGCTCTTTACAGGTAAGAAGGTGTATTTGGGAAGTTCGCTTTGCTACTCTCCTGCAGAGTGGGACAGATTAGGCTCAGACAAGGGAGAGTTCGGGCCAGACGCCCGCTTCTGCGTGTCAAGGGCCTCGCCTGGTGAGGTGAGGCCTTGAGACTCGAGAACCCTAGAGCCTCTGGTCTCTGTTCAATAGTAGGTGGAGTAGACTCAACTACTGCCGCCTTGGGGGCAGGCGCCACAGCCAATGGCTCGCTCTGCGCAGGCTGAAGGAGTGGCGAGGGCTGGTGCGACACTTCCCTCTGGCGCCCGCGCATCAGCATATGTGGGGCCATAAAATGGCGACACTCTCCTTCTTGCTTCTTTAAATGTAATGTTTTCTTTTATGTTTAAAGTGATGATCTCTTTTTTTTTTTCCAGAAAGAACAGGACGTCTTTCAGAGTCTTTGCAGACAGTCAAAACCAGGGAAGATGTCTGTTGCCAACTGCCAAGTAAAACGCAGAAATAAGTTTGTCAAATGTGTGACATCAGGCATCTACGCCACTCCCTTGTGGAAAATGGTACGTAGGGCAATCAGGGAGAAGCATCAATGACAGGTTTCCTGAGCACAAAAAATAAAGTTGGAAAAATTGCTATTGATGGTTTTCTCGCGCAACATTGTAAACAGCATCAATGTTCCCCTATCTTTGAAAACACAAGCATAATAGCTAGAAGCAAATGCGAAATGACTCGTCTTAAGCTAAGCAGATTGTGGCACTTGACGATGTGTGTATGTCAGCCAGTCGTCGATAGCACTGTCAGAAAAAGAGTTAACGTATCTGCGCAATACATGAGTTTATCAGTGTGTATATAAGTACCGCTGCACTTATATTTATTTATGTTGCTCTTTTATTCACGTGCTCACATGACTGTGACTCAACGGACAACTGAATGAATGTTTTCTGGTTTCTCAGAACCAACTATGTTAGAAGTTAGCGCTCGGTCTGTCTGCATGTGCCCTCATTTTTTCCTGTTGGCGTGCGCTACGAGGATACTTACTGAAGATAGGCTTAAGGGCGGATAGATAGCTAAGACCAGGTTTAGAACTGCTACTACCTATCGCTTTGTTATATAAAGGAAACTATAGCAAATTTAAAAGCTGCTTTAAGGCAATTTGCACTAAATGTTTTATGAAGTTAGTGAGAAAATGCGAAGTCACTCTAAAGATAATGAAAAATAAGTTATTTCATTTTTATTTCGAAGAAAAATATGTGAAAAACATCTTGCATATAAGTTGATGAAAACTGTTGTGGTTAATAAGTGTGCCTAGGCTCGTCTTCATCACCAAAATAATAATTCCAGTCATGGCCAATATTTAGTGAAAAATTTCCTTTTTTGATGGCACAAACTTTAAAGCTTTTTTTAAGAAAATCGTTCAAAAAAAAACATTGCAGTGGGAGCGCCCATATTTTGCTTCAAAGGGGCGCATGTTATTCAAAAACAAGTTATGAAAGTTTTCACTTGGTACCTGCAGTGGTTACAAAGAAAATACTCTTTTTCTGGCGAAAACTAGTGGTTTAGAGAAAATGCTATTTAGGGTTCGGGTGGCCGTCAAGTAAGAATAAAATGCTCCCGCAGCATATTCTTCGCCATTTACATGATGGTAAATATTATACATAACAATGTCGGATTATGCATAATACATTATATAATCTTTGTTATGAGGGTTCGTGTACTTGCAATCAAAATAAATCCCACGTAGCACTTAAAACTTTGCAGTTCATACACTCTTTGACGGCATCTCGGTGTGTTGACTGTGCACTTGGTGGATCTGCTTGGTAATAATTCTCGCCTCTAGTGCAGATTTGCTGAACACTAAGGCACTGAAGCGTCCTAAGTGCGTTTGTGAAGCAGTTCACAGCTGTGGACCACCCGGAATCGCAAGAACTGCAGAACCCATGACCACAACGTGGACATACCAACATCGAAAATGTGAATATAAACAAACTCTCTCTGAAATTGAGGTATTAGTGACTTTGAGCTGATGCGTATACTTCTTTATGTTACAGCGTTACTGGGACCAGAGTTTTAACAACGTTTTGCTCCACAGAAATCTTTACGCTCCAACGTAAACCAATAGACGATGATGATAATGTATGCACGCATGCATGCTCTATTTCATTTAGGTAAGATTCAATAGGCGCTGCGGAGAAATAATTATATAGTGTAATATAAAAGACCAAATTTTCATAATTTATTCAATAACCAAACTAATTGAAGTTGGCTACGCGCATAGGGCTTGAGGTAGCCACCTCAAAACGCTCAACTGGTTCAACTATTCAACGTTAAGCGGCTAGGCGCATTCTTTATTTGGAGCAAAGAATTGGTCGTCGATATGGCAACGAGTGTGCTTTAAGATTCCTTCCTATAGTGAATCATCTCCATAGAAGAATATTCATGATTTATTAATTACGGAGTTCCTGTAGCAGTAGCCACGGAGCAATTTTCGCGAAATCCTCTCGTTAGGCATCGATGCCATGTATACAAGAACCAAGATGCCATGTAACCGGAACTTCAGGTTCCACAGAGGCGATTTGGACGACCTGATCGCTCACATGCTCATTCCAGGCGAAGTGATAAGTGTGCAACGCGTCCAGTTGTCAGATCCCGAGGTTTTGCGTACGACAGTGCAGCGCCTCGCTTATCCAAATGAACTTTGTGATCTGGAGATGATATAGAACTGCTACAGCTCCGTGATCTTGAGTGAGGTATTCAATGTAATGGTCCACATCGAATGTTACTTGGGACACCTGCTTGCAGATCTTTTACTTTACAGCTGGACACCTGCTTCCAGATCTTACAATTTACAGCTGGATGAACCTCCTGAACCTTCAAGTGTTTTCTCTTAACTTGTCAATTGCTAAATTGTTTATTAACATGCCTAATAATGTATTATATGTTATTCATTGCCTGGCATAAAATGAT